GGGGGGGCCCATTGAGAGAATTTTGTCCCGGGCCCAGCCAAACCTGTCAGCGGCCCTGATGATATGTATTTAAATACATCATAAGGCAAGATGCATGGGTGGATGAGGTTAAACAGAGCATCATGGTTCACGGCTGCATGTCTGGAACAAATCTGTGCACTGTGAAATGTGAGGACTTTTGGTTGCATCTGGCTACAGCAAAAACATTGATCACATCTTTTAAGTCCCATTACACTCAAACTTGTGTTATCGTTGCAACTTGTGTTTGCTATTGTTGCATCATTTGTTAGTTTGAGCTTCACTGTGCAGCGATGTACGTGCAGAGTATGACACAAGAAGAATGTGTTCTCTTCTTAAATCTGAGACTGACATGTGTTTGAGTGATCATCATTTTGTGGCCTCACAGTTTGACCAGCCAATCATTGTCCAGGTGAAAACTAGAAACCTCCAGCCAACTGGAGACATCTTGTGTCTTATATGGTTAAAATATGTATATGTTAATAGATTTAGTATTTTCACATGAGGAGGAAAGACCATGTAATTCTAGGAATCTAAACAAGGCAATTGCTTTTTTTATGTCTTGACACATCTAAAAAATGAATCCCTATGAGATAATTACAGTGAATACATTGTTGATGCTGTTCCATAATTTCACTATCAATTCAGTGCAGATTTCCCAGAGAATTTTTGATGGACCAGAAAATTGCATAATGTTTCACTTCCAAGAAAATCTGCATATTCTGTGAACAAGTAGGAAACCATGTAATTGGCTGTAAAATTTAGATATGGCCTAACTTTTAGTGTTTCGTCTCTAAAATGATACATTTTTATGCACACAAGACAAAGAAATTATAATTATTAATTCCAAATTTCAGGATGTCATGGGCTCCACATTTACATATGTAAGATGTTGATGAAATGCTATTGAACTTATCACACAGTAAATTAGCTCCATTAATGGTGCAATACGTCTGACCCAGCCTCATGATAATGGCTGTTAATTCACAGCAGACATCGTCT